CATGGCCACATCCAAATATTGTTGCCGAAGTGAAGACAGAAGGATTCGATCTATTGTCGAAGGAGAGCATCATTTTGCAAAATAAGAATAATAATGCAGCCAGCATGGAGGGCGATGCTTGGGTATTGAGTTTCTTTGAAGCTGAAAATCGTTTGTTGCAAGGTAAGTGCAAATTGTTTGTTTATTTCCCTAAATGTGGCATTAGCACTTTCATTATTTTTGTGCTTAAGGTGGCTGCCGGCGTCGTTGTTTAAGTATTTTAAAGACACTTAGAGATCGTCACCTTGATCTGCCCGGCAATCCAATCACAGCTTATCACTTGAAGAATCTCTTGCTTTATGAATGTGAGAAACATCCGCGTGACTATGAATGGGAAGAGGCATCCATAGCTGATCGTCTTAATGGCATCTTCTTGCAATTAATCTCATGTTTACAATACCGTCGTTGTCCACACTATTTTCTGCCAAGTTTAGATATGTTTAAAGGTAAATCTCCAAGCGCACTGGAACAGGCTGCGAAGCAAGTTTGGCGTTTAACACGCGAAATGCTGACCAATGCAAATGCATTTGAAAAATTGTAAAATTAAAGAAGTTCTATAAAACCAAAATATTTCTTTAAAAAAAAAATATGAAAAAATTCAAAAAATACTAAAGAAAATTAGCCGAACAATGTGTGGAGTGTAACTGAAGGTGCTGTTCAATGTTTGTTTTTTAGATAACAGATTTTTTTTTTTTAATAATTTTTTTTTTCCTTTTTTTCTAATTGTTTACTAACAATGAAGATTTAGTTAGCAGGATATTTTGATAAGGATATATAAGAGTATACGCGCCAGCGTGGCTGTTAAAAGCCGTTGCATACAAGCCAGATGCAAGTAATCTGAACATGAGTAAGATTAAATGTGAAAAAAAGATTAAAAAATATAAATGCCAACAAAAACTGTAAAAGATGTGCGAAAAGACACAAAAAACTTCAAATTATTAATAGCAAAAAATTGAGATTTTTATTCTGATATGAAAAATACTCATATGAAATACACAAAAAAAAAAACCATAATCCTTATATCGCTAGTAATAACATAAGTAAAGGATCAAATGAGATACAAAAATATACAACAAAAAAAAAAAATTTAAACAAAATGTTATAAGAAAATTCAGACATAAATAAATAATAATTCATATGATATAAAAAAATTAAACGGAATGTCAAGAAGTAATTAATTCTAACTTCTTCAAATTTTGATTTAAGATCACGGGCATTACCTTGGTTTTTTTCATATTAAAATTTATTAATAATTAAGTAATATTGAAATAATATTACTAATATTGCATTTTAAAATTGTAATTTTTGACTTTAGAAGTACATGAAGGTATACGATAATATATCTATAGGCATTTGATGCATGGAAAATGATTTGGTGTTATTTGGTATGTCAATACTAAATTAAAAAAAATAATATTAATTTAATAAATTATTATTGGTGCAATATAATATGCAGAAAAAAAAAAACAAAATATTTTATATATATATTCAAAACATAAAATGTATTATTTTGCTTAAATTTTAACTTAAAGTTAAACATTTTAATATTTACTAGTAATACGTTTGTTAATATATAAATTAAAAAACAAAAACAGATTCATTTTAAAGGCTAATAAAATTAAATTTTGATCTTTTAAAATAAAAAAATTGTATTTTTTTTTTTTTGAATAATACTCTTATTTCTTACCAGAAAGAAATTTTTATAAGGAAGCTGATAATAACTGACATAGAAAAAATATTATGGAATGCAATATGGACAACAGAACTAATAACATGACGAATTAATACACATTATATTTTATTAATATTTATTAATGTTTATTTATTGCAGAGTTCTTATCCTGGTGATGACTCTCAAGGAAAATCGAAATATAGAATATATTATAAAAAAATATTAAACAAACATTTAATTTAAAAAAGGTGACCTGTAGCCGAAGATAAAATATATAAAAAAACGTTGCTAAGAGCAACAGGTAGAGAAACACATTCAAAATTGAAAAAAAAATATATATACATACACAAATATATATAATGTATAAATATATATATATTTATAAGGACAAAATTACATATGTATCTATACTGGTAGCTAAAGCAGCAATCAAAGCATTGACTTCTTGAAAGTATCCTCAAGGCGCTCAGTTAACTACTATAACACTCAGTACCTACTAGACACCTACAAAATTGGGTAGTTTTGCTGCCTGCTTGGTCATCGATGGTATTCAATTTGCATTGAACTTCAAAAGGACCGGTTCAGCTTTACAATTCTCTAAATTGAAACCCAATTGTAGATTTAATTCATCTACACGATGCTTCTGATACTATATACATTTTATGTATATATATTTGTAGGGACACCATGTATCTATGTAAGTAGTTAAATATCTATTAAATAATTACACTGCTAGAAGTACTCATCAAGGCTTTCGATAAACTGCTATTCTTCATAGGAACTACTTACAAGCCCAAACCATATAAACTATAGGTATGCTGGGTGCTATCTATGGTATTCAATCTGCACGAACCAGTGTGGCTTTACATTTTTCTGGTTTTGGAAGTCTATGATTAATCTTATGTATTTGTAAGGGCGCCTACAACTGTATCTGTACAAATAGTTAAGTAGCAATGTAAGTATCACCCTCTTGAACGTACTGCTTAAGTATTTCAATGAACTACTATACTTTTGATTTTTAGATTATACCGATTTTGCCGATTTAAGTCATGAGGTTTTGCACTATGACCTGCAGATTTATTGTATCCCGTTCATGGATTCAAAGTGTTTCTTCGGCTCTAAAGAATTTTTTCGAATAAATTTTAGTATTGAGTCTTTTTTTTGGTAAGCCGTCTTCATTTTTAATTAAAGATATTTGTTTAAATTATATATCAAAAGGAAATATCTATGGCGTTTTCTAGTGGTAAGTCTGGGGTAACTTTTTTATTCAAGATTCAGTTAGTGCATTTTTGACTTTCGATTGATAAATCTGTATAACACTTGAGATTAATGTATAACACTTGAGAGTAATTTATAACAATCTAGATATTTTAACAGAGTAGCATGCTTACCCCGAAATTAACAGGTGTTTTATATGATTTGACATATAAATTGTTTTATATTGACATAATCCCTCCACCCGTGATATTCTTCATTAGACGAGCTGAATGCTTTCTGTTGATTAGTACCAATTATAAAAAAAGTTATACTAGGATACTAGTGCTTATGAGGACTGATTTCCTTTCAAGTTACCATATATAGACACCTCAATCATGAGGATAATGTACAAAATAACTACCAATAATGTATATATATTTTATTAGTATTATATTTCAAAAAAAAAAAATATTTATAGGTAATTGAATTATAAAAACTTATATTAACTTGCACATAATTTTAATTTATTTTTATTAAATGTATGTATCTTTAAAATAGAAGGGCTCGCACAGTAATTCAACAACAAGAACAAAAATTTTAATTATTTTATTGAAATTTAGCCCCTGTATGTATGTATGTATTCTTGTTTCGATTGAAGTAATTCAAATAATTTAAGTTCTTGTTGAATTTAAAAGGTACAAAAATATAAACGACAATCTGCTATTGAAATTAATCCCTACTAAGACAAAGGATCAAAAAACTATTGTCACAGACAAATTTTACAAAAGTGAAACGTTGCCCGAAGGATTAAACAAAAGGATATTCATACCAACTAATTTTGATGTCATTAGAAAACAATTAAAACCACAAATTTTTAAGGAAGCAAGTTGGTTGACAAAAAGCCTTTTGTCAACTGAAATACAAGGCAACAAAAAAACTTCGGTTGGTAATACGTATAAATGTCACTCACAGGATAATAAAAGTTTTTAACGCTTCGAGCTATGAATTGTAAAACAAAACTTTGACACAAGCGAACACAACAAATGTCAACAAATGTCGTTTTAAAAATGGAAAAAAATATTTAAATGAAAATTAAAATTTAAATAAAAATAAAAATAAAAATTTGGTTTAAGAAACAAACTAAAGCCACACGTGACTTCTAAGTACTGGATTTGCAAAAGTATTTACCGCTGGTGAACTCCCCGTTTCGATTGACTTTTGGTTTGCATGAAAAGTTTCTTGAGGCCGCATTATTTGTACAAAGGTTCAAAAACCGAGTATTTGCGGCACACATCCAAAAGGAGTCGTAATTGAAAATTCCTACTAAAGAAAACTGGAAGCCAAATTGTAAGTAGCAGAAGCAAGTGGGATTGGGAGTGGGAGTGATGATGCTGGCATGTGCGCTGTATGGGCACATAATTTGTCAAATGTGTTTGGTATGCCTTACCGCTTGGTTTCGGAATTAAACGTGCCGTATCTGGCATGAAATGCCACCAGTTATTTACTGGCGCTGGTCACGTGCAGTTTTTATGTTTGCATTACACCCGCACTCCTTTATAGCCGTTAAGTAACTATGCAACTATTATGCTGCCTCATGGTTGGGCGCATAATCAGCTTCACCTGATGTTTCACATGAGTCAAAAAGATTGCTAGCCTGCCTGCCTGCCTGCCCGTCTGTGTATCTGCCTTGCACTGAGGATGCTGCAGTTACTCTTTGTATTCCTGAGAATGGTCGCACTTGCCGTACTACACCGTGACGATTTGGCATGCGTGAAATACATTGTAAAATACATTGCATAGCAGATAGACGGACGGACAATAATACTTTTAATTCGCTGAAATAATGCTGCGTTGTCGTTTCTGTTATTGAGCGTGAAATGTGATATTTTTTTTTTTTTGTGGCCAGCTCCACAGTTCCTCCACCAGTGCTTTGTTTGAGAGTCTTTCATTTATTTTCTCAACTTTATTAGATACTCGTAATCAATATCATTTGTTTTTTATATTTTATGTTGGTGTATTTTCATGTTTAGGTATAATTTGTTATATTCACTGTCAGTTGTTGTATTCCATTATCCTTTTATCATTATTATTTCATGATTTTAATGCATTTTTCGTCTATTCGAAAATAATTTGTTTCTTCGAAGTACGAGTAGATAGCAAAACATTTTCATATATGTACATAAAATCAGGACTGTTGACTATAGTGGATTATAATTTAAAATAAACAACGAATAATAATAACTGCAGCTAACACCACATTTTTATTAACAGAAATATCACTATTTTTACTATGACTAGTTCATACTTTCAATTAAATACATAATATTATATATTATCTTAATATATATAAAACCACAATGTCAGATTTTTATGATTGAATAAAAATCAACTATTATGAACTATTAAACTAAGCATCATTATTAATGACGCAACGATCCTAGTTGAATCTAGACCTCCCTTAAAATTGGCGTAATTGCTATTAAAAAATAGGTAGTGCAGCTCAAAAACCCAACTTGCGTTTATACTAAACTCTAACAACATATATATATATATATATACATATGTTACAATAAATATATAATATGATATATAATATTATATGTAACATGTAATATAAAATGTAAAATATAAATATACTAAAAGATATAATGATAAAACAGGGTTCTTAAAATCAGTAATCACAATTGTGCTTGACATGTAAGTATAGAACTGCGTGATGAAATAAAAGTACATTATATTCCAAACTGTAATGCTAAACAATGATAGACAAGAACATTATCGGGTAAGAAACTAAGTCACCGTAACAAGATTTGAACAAACGAAAGGTCTATGAAAACACCGGAAATGAAACCGGAAAAATTAAAGAGTTATACATGGCAAAAACATATTCAAAATGTACTCAAAAAATCCATTAAGCATGTCAGCCATTATAATTGGTAATAAGTTAAAGTGTTTCCAATGTGTATAGTAAAACAAAAGTAAATAGAACAGCCAGAAGAGAGAATATTTCGCTTTTAGAAGAGCAAAATCAAGACAATATAGACTGTTCATTCTCTTCGATTCAAACGAACTTAATAAAAAAAATTTATTTCATAAGATATAATGCTGAACGCACTATATTATATGATGACATAGAGCTTGTAGCTCTATCGGATGCGGAATTCACCACCAGCTCATAGGGGACCAAAAGACTTCCGAATAACTTGTATCTCAAAAACTTCCAGTGTCATTATATCATTTTATGATACCGTCATTGCTGCTTGCTCATACAAATGCACATGTAGGCTGACCAACCCATTATAGCCCATTGTAGTCATCAGATCTTTGTCTGGTGATTGAGGTATATAATTGCGAATTAAATTCTGTAAAAAACACTTTTAAT